ACGAACAGACCCAGAAAACATTTAGGTTTGAGCTCAACTTGAGGTTAAGTTGAGAACTAAGCTATTTCACAAATCTCCAACGTTGCTTCTCAACAGTACCTCAAGTGGAGGATCATAGCGTTCTCAACAAAAAGGGAACTTTTCTTTGTATGAAAAAAGGATTGTTTGTCAAGTTGAGAAAATGCTAGTTCTCATCTTGAACTCCAATTACTCCTTTTGTATTATGTAGTTAACCAATATCGTATTACAATACCTCACTTCACAGTATACAGTCCGACAGTCCACTTTATTCACTTCGCGTTTTGAAGGTTATTTACTTTTTAACCGACTTCCAAAAAAGGACGAGGTTATCAGTTCGTCGGAATATTTTTTTTTTTTTTATGTATGTTACCGGATAACTTTGGACCACGTCAACTGATTTTGATAATTCTTTTTGCATCGGAAAGGTAGTGTCTCAGAGGTGGTCCTATACTAATCTAAGATCCGATCCGATCCGATCATTGGATCATGAAACATATAGAGATATATATATATATAAATATTTTTTAAGCCGGTTTTTTTTGCTAAAAATTACTTGTTGTTGGTAATTTTCCTCTTTATATAGCTTTCGTTTTTCACTTGATAATTAAAAATTCGTTTCTCTATCAATTTTTACGTATCTGCGCATCGGCTAGAGATGAGTTGGAGAATGATGTCGGATATCAACTTGAGAATTATAAATTTCTCCAAGGTAGGAGCACTAACAGCTCAGTTATGCATACTTGGCGTTGCATGAGAGTTGTCACATAAGAAATCTGTTAAATGAGTTTTGCGTGTAAGCGGTTACCCGGGAATGTAACTGAGCTAGAACATGTGTGCGGGCATGTAAAAGTAAATGAAATAAAACTCATTTTCAGTGGAATATGCATACTGATGCACACTAAAGTGGATTTGGCAGTGGTAGACTATCTCACTTGTCAATATTTGTCAGTTGTGGAGTTCGGGAAGTGATCCCACTAGTTTAACCGGTGAAACCAGCAGACAAAGGGGAATTTCATAACCGATAATATTCCTCTCCCCAGTAGCGAAGCCACTTGAGATTACTCTTAATGTGTCACCTAACCCCTCGAAGCAACAGCACCACCCCGAACTTACCGCCATAAACATTCCGATGACTCAGGGCCTTAATAGTAACCGCCCCTGTGAGAGAACCATTCTCGTAGCTTTTGACTCGTGAAAGGTTGTTGT